CTTGCTCTGTCGCTTGGGCTGGCGTGCAGTTGTTCGACCTCGGACTCAAGCAATTTTCCTGCATCAGCCTCCCAAGTAACTGGGCTTACAGGGGCCCACCACCATGCTCGGCTAATTTTTATTTTTAGTAGAGATGGAATTTCACCATGTTGGCCAGGCTGGCCTCGAACTCCTGATCTCATGTGATCTGCCCGCCTTGGCCTCCCAAAGTGCTGGAATTATAGGTGTGATGTTTTGAGAGTTTCAAGAGTACTTATATATTCAATACAGGAGTCCTTTGTTCAGTATACAGTTTTCATACATTAACTCCAAGTCTATAGCTTTTCCTCTGGTCCCCTTAACAGGGTTTTTCACCAAGTAAAAATTTATAATTTTGATGAAGTTCAATTTATCACTTTTTCCTTTTAAGGGTAAAGCTCAAATATCTTCGTCCATGCTTCTTTCTAAGAAATGTATGATTTTATGTTTTAAATTTGTGTGCAATCTATTCCTAGCTAGAGGAATCAGACAAGAGAAAGAAATAAAGGGCATCCAAATCGGAAAGAAAGAAGTCAAATTTGTTTGCAGATGATATGATCTTATATTTGGAAAAACTTAAAGATGCCAACAAAACTGTTAGAACTGATATACAAAAATTACCTGGAATTGTCCACTCTTGGCATATAGAAATGCTACTGGTTTTTGTATGTCGATGTGGTATCCTGTAACTTTACTGAATTTGTTTAAGAAGAGACGTTTGGGTCAAGGTTCATTTTGCTTTGCCTATAGATGTTAAGTTTCTCCAGCTGTTTATTGAAATTGCCTTCGCACCTCTGTCAAATATCAGCTAGGTGCATTATTGTGTGTCTATTTCTGGATTCTCTATTCAATTTTTGGATTTATCTATCACTGTGCTAATATCACACTGTCTTGATTATTGTGGCTATGTAGTAGGTCTTAATGTGGGATGGAGTGATTTTTTTCACCTTATTCAAGATTGCTTTAGCTATTCTAGGGCCTGTACCTTTAGATATCAATTTTAGAACAAGCTCCAAAAATACCCTGCTGCGATTTTGATAGGAATTGCTCTAAAACTGTAAATCAATCAGGAATGTTGACATATTTACTATGTTGTGTCTTCCAATGCATAAACATGGCATGTATTTAGGTCTTAATTAATTCCATGCATTATTATTTTGTGCTTTTCACCATACAGACCCTGTACATATTTTGGTAAATTTATATATAATTATTTCATTTTATTTATGTGATTTAAATGGTATTTTGTTTTTAATGTCATTCTCCATTTTGTTCATTGTTGATATATAGGAATGAAACTGATTTCTGAGCATTGACTTGCATTCTATGAACTTGCTGGACTCACTTATTAGTTTTAAGAATTTTGCTTTTCTTTTTAGATTTCTTGGGATTTTCTACATAGGCAATCATTACCTCTGCAAATAGAGACAGTTTCATGTCATTCTTTCCTATCTGTAGGGCTTTTATTTATTTTTCTTGCCATATTACACTGAGTGAAAATTCCAGTTACAGTTGGGTAAAAGTGGTAAAAGCAGAAAACTTTTCCTTGCTTCTGATCTTAGATGTAAAGCATCTAATTGCTCTCCTTTACATATGATGCTTCTTGTAAATTTTTGTACATGTCCTTTACAAAGTTAAGGAAATTCTCCTTTATTTCTAGTTTGCTGAGAGTTTTAAATTACAAATGGGGGTTGGATTTTGTCAAATGCTATTCCTGTGTCAGTTGATGTGATCATATTATTCACAAAATATTGTTGAGATGGTAATTTACACTCTCTGACTTTCTAATGTTGAACCAGCAGTTAGTAGTTACTGCTATTATAAGGGTGGCTTAAATGAGATAGTATTTTTTCTTGTGTTACCCGTAGAGGATCTTGAATGCAACTTGTCCAGGTTCTTCGTGTTTTGAACAAAAAATTGGACAAAAGAAACAGCAAAGCAGGAAAGAATGAAGCAATGAAAGAATGAAAGCAGGGATTTATTGAAAATGAAAGTACACTCCACAGTGTGGGAGTGGGCCCCAGTAGCAGCTCAAGGGCCCCAGATACAGAATCTTCTTGGGTCCAAATATGCTTCCCAATTGTCACTTGGCACTCACCTCATGTAAATGAAGGGATGGCCCACAATCAGTCTGATTGGTTGCAGAAAGTAACCAGTCAGAGGCTGAAGTGAAGTTACACAGTTGGACTTCTATGCAAATAAAGACTTGGCCTGCAATCAGTCTGATTGATTGTGGACAGCAACCAATCAGAAGCTGAAGTTACATAGTTACACTCCTATGCAATCATCTGATTGGTTGCAAAAATCAACCCATTAGTGGTACTTTCAATCTCCCATCTGCAGGTGCAGAAAAAGTGGGGGTATGTAAAGGGAGTAGCCTTTGGTCCTTTTGTTACTTAGGCGTGGGAAGTAAGGGTTTTCCTTTCAATTTAGTTCTAGGAAGTCAGCAGGAAATGGCCTTAGGCTCCCTGCCTCCACACCCTATTATCCTGCCTCACTTGCAGCAATGCCTGTTAATATAACAGTATAGTGAAGGTGTAGGTAATACTAAAGTATAGTAAGTTCTATATGCATAATAGGTACAATTTCCCTCCCTGGGCCAAGCTTTTCTCTGACCTCTACACCATCATAGCCTTTTAAATTCCCAATTCTTGCACTATATTCACCTGGATAAGGCCCATTTTCAAGGTAACCCTGAAGTGCATGAAGATATTTATCTCCTACCTGCAACACATCCTGTCCCCATCTGAGTGAGAGGCGTGTAGACCAGTGTTTCTCAAATAAATGTCCACTGATCATTTGCATCAAATCTTTAGGGACAGAATCAAAGAATGTGCATATCTGTTAAGCTGCTCCTGAGATGTTAACGTGCACTAAAATTCATGAAACAATCCTCTACATCATCTGTGCCTTTTCACATATGGTTGCCTCTTTCCATGTGCAGAAACAAAATGCAGCTTCCTCTAAGAATCTGTCCCTAATTTCATGTTCACTACCACCAGCAGATGCAGCCTTTCTGTTGCTATAGGATGAATAATATGGGGAGGAATCAAAATTGAGGTGCAAGAGAGTGTTGCGGTGCACTGGAAGTCAGCAGCTGAATTGGAGTGGTGAGAAGGACCTAGGGCTTTTACTTGGAATTTGTGCACTTGAGGTGAAGTTGCTAAAAGGGGTGGGGGAAGGGGTCAGAAAATCAGAAAAATGAGAAGGAGGTTGGGGGAAAGCAGCAACAAAACAACTCCTATGTTTTTCCCTGATTGGGAAATAAATTCATCACCACGGGTATTAGCTGCCAGCCTGTCTTTCCAATGTATCACTGTGTAACTGAAATCAGTGGGTAACTGAGCACGCCCTGTTTAGACCTGCCACCTGATTGGCTTCTCTGAAGCAGCAGAACTGGATAAGAACGTGATGATCCCTGAGAAGTTACGCTTATGCACAGAACCGCTACACTTGCATCATTGTATCCATGTTGTTCCCTTCCTCTGGAACGTTATGTTCTTCTCTGCTTGTGAAAATACTATGCCTTGAGACTCTGTCCCAAGGGCCCAAGGACTCTACTCAGGCGCCTCTGTGATTGACAACGGGGATGTTAACTTTGCCTCTCCTTAACTGAGCATGCCCCATTTGGGCCTGCTACCTGATTGGCTGCTCTGAAGCAGCAGAACTGGATAACAACGTGATGATCCCTGAGAAGTCATGCTTATGCACAGAACCGCTACACTTGCATCATTGTATCCATGTTGTTCCCTTCCTCTGGAACGTAATGTTCTTTTCTGCTTGTGAAAATACTATGCCTTGAGACCCTGTCCCGAGGTACCAGGGACTCTGCTTAGGTGCCTCTGTGGCTAACAAAGGGGATATTGACTTTGCCTCTCAGAAGTAGGGAAGAGGTCCTCCTCCCCGGATTCTTCCACTCCATCTCCTTAGGGCTCTGAGGCTCAAAGGAAGCAAACAACTCCAAAAAGCCCCTCAGGATTCCTCCCCCATCAGTACAGCCCGCCGTTTTCTCGAGGCTGCACCAAACCAAGTGTTCTCTGAAATCACTCACCATGGGCCAAATGTGGAGCCCAGGCATTTGCATTTGGATTGTATTCCTCAAAGGACTGTGGTGCAGTAGCTCAGAGACCTCAATTTGAGGAGGGGAAAAAAATTTGGTTGTAACTTTAAGACATCGCCTGAGGGGCTGAAACTGGAGGGGTTGCAAGTCTAACATAAGGGTAAAAGTCTCCCTGCAGCTGCCGAATTCCCCGTCTCTTGCCAAGTTTAATGTCTAATCTTAGAGAAGGGTGTCCCAGGATTACGGTTTTGCCAGACAGATCGTGGCCCAGGCTCCTTCCATCCCCGTGCTTGACTATAGCTTGTTTCAGATTTTACTGAAGTAGGGATTTTAAGAAGGGTAGTTAGCTGTTGTCCTGAGGGTATAAAAACGCCGCAGGTTTGATACGGGGGGATCCTGGAGTCCTGACCCTCCGACCCTGCCCTTGCAGCTCCACTACCCCATCCCTGCTCGGACCCCTCCCTTCCCTGTCGGACCCCTCCCCTCCCTGCTCGGACCCCTCCCCTCCCCACCCCTCCCAGACTTCACCCCGCCTGGCCTCAGCTACACCCCACGCCCTCACTCCCGCTTGCCCGCTCGCCGGCTCCTCCCACTGCCTCCGCCCCTCCCACTCGACCCCCCGCGTCGATCTCGCCCCACACTGACTTTGCTCTCTGCCGGCCCAGCCAGGCGCACTTCCCGCCCTCGCCTAGGTCTGCACCCCTACCGCCGCCCTAGTCCGCGCGTCCCTCGCCGGTCCGCCGCTGCAGCGCCTCCGACTCTGAAGGCTCCGTGCCAGCGGACACCCCAACCTCAGCCTTAGAGACCCCGCGGTCCGGGCTGACGCGGAAGCGCAGCCATCCACGCCGCCGTCAAGGCCAACAGGAGAGCCACGCGCCGCCGCCACCAAAGCAGTGCTGCCGCCGCTCGCCCGCCGCCCACCATGGCCCAGCAGCAAACAGGTAGCAGGAAGCGGAGCGCGCCGGCGGTTGAGGCGGGCTCCGGGAGCTCGCCGTCGCAGGGCTTGGCGGACAGAGAGGGGCCGCTGCTACCCAAGAGGCAGAGGCGGCCGGTGACGCGTCGCTCTGTGGTTCATTATCTGAAGGGCCGGGAGGTAGGCGCCCGGGGCGCAGCGGGGCTCCAGGGCTTCGAGAGCGAGCTGCGGGGCTACGCGGTACAGAGGCTGCCCGAGCTGCTGACGGAGCGCCAGCTAGACCTGGGCACCCTCAACAAGGTGTTCGCGTCTCAGTGGCTGAACTCCAGGCAGGTGGTGTGCGGCACCAAGTGTAACACGCTCGTAGTGGTGGATGTGCAGTCGGGCCACATCACACGCATCCCCCTCATGCGGGACAAGGATGCCGGCCTGGCCCCGGCCCGTCGGAGCTGCGGCATCCATGCCATCGAGCTGAATCCCTCCAAGACGCTTCTAGCCACTGGCGGCGAAAACCCCAACAGCCTGGCCATCTACCGGCTGCCCACCCTGGATCCCCTGTGCCTGGGCGACCGCCATGGCCACAAGGACTGGATCTTTGCCATCGCCTGGCTGAGTGACACCGTGGCTGTGAGCGGCTCCCGCGACGGCACCGTGGCGCTGTGGCGGATGGACCCGGACATGTTCGATGGCACCATTGCGTGGCACAGTGAGGTGGGTCTTCCCATATATGCCCACATTCGTCCTAGGGATGTGCAAACCATCCCCAGGGTCAGCACCAACCCGGGCAACCGCAAGGTGCGGGCCCTGGCCTTCAGCGGCAAGAACCAGGAGCTGGGAGCGGTGTCCTTGGATGGCTACTTCCACCTGTGGAAAGCCCGGAGCACACTATCCAGGCTGCTGTCCATCAGGCTGCCCTACTTCCGGGATAATGTGTGCCTGACCTACTGCGATGAAATGTCTGTATACGCCGTGGGCTCTCATTCCCACGTCTCCTTCCTGGATTTGCGCCAGGGCCAGCAGAACATCCGGCCCCTGTGCTCTCGAGAGGGTGGCACGGGCGTGCGGTCCCTGAGCATCTACCGCCACCTGATCACTGTGGGCACCGGCCATGGCTCCCTGCTCTTCTATGACATCCGCGCCCAGAAGTTTCTGGAGGAGAGAACCCCCGCAGGCCTCGACTCCGCTCTGGAACCTGCAGGGAGGAAGCTCAGGCTTGACTGTGGCAGAGGCTGGCTCAACCACGATGATTTCTGGGTGAATTACTTTGGTGGCATGGAAGAGTTGCCCAGTGCGCTGTACACCCACTGCTACAACTGGCCTGAGATGAAGCTCTTTGTGGGTGGGGGACCCCTCCCTGCAGGCCTCCATGGGAACTACGCAGGCCTCTGGAGCTAAGGATGGACGCCTTGTTCTCCAGGTGCACAGATTTACCTTTCAGTTCTGCTTGATTTTACTTCTTCATGCTGCGGGGTTTTTTTTTTGTTTGTTTGTTTTGTTTTTGCGATTAACTCTCTGTGTCTTTTGCTTTTCAGGTGGAACCAGCCCAACTTAACCTGTACTCCTCCAAGCAGAGATAGTGAGTGATCTTTTGGTCAATGAAAACTTGGCTTTAAGACTTTTTGACTCCTGTCCAACATCATCTTTTTGAATTTTCATACCAAGAATTTTGGTTAATCTTTAGTTACATTCTCTTTGAGTGATTCATATATTCTGTTTCTTAAAGGAGATGCAGTTGTGGTCTTAGAATTACATATATTCCCTTTTTCCCCTCGTTACCAGTATTACAACAGCATTGTTTTTAGTTATTTTTCATTGCTGATACATGGTATACTAAAAGAAATTTTTCTAGTAAGCAGGGTGTTTCTACATCTTTTCTGGAGAGCTTACCATAGTTTTATAGCATTGTTCGATTGGAAAAATACATTCCAATTTCTAGATTAGATTATCTACTTTTGGAAACAGTTTTGAAGTTGTGATCTTAGTGTATATAGTTTTTACCTTGTTAGTGCTAAAATGCTTTTCTAAAGTGTATTCTCTTTTAAAAGAAGTTTTCATAGAATCTTGTGTTTGTATCAAACTCTTAATTAGTCAGAACACTTCAGGAGTGCAGGATTTCTTTTTCACTGAATTTTCAGAATTAATCTGAAAGTTGAAACAACCATTTTTTTTTTTTTTTACTTTTCAAACCATATTTAAGTTGTTATTACCTGTCCTTAAGTGGATAAAAGAATGTGTATTTTTCACTTGTTGCCTTAGTACTATCAAGACTTGTGAATATATTTGAATGTATGTTGTTTGAAAAACTTGCACAGTGCATTGGAGCCAACATGCAAAGCAGGAAATGTGAATGTGGAATGTATGGCAGGCTGGGCAGAATGTATACTGATCTAGGATATAGACTGGATATTTTTGCCGTTGTTGTTTTTAATAGAAAATGTTATATTTGAGGATATTTAACATTTTTCAATTCTGCTTAAGAGGTAATTCACAATAAAAAAGAAAATCAAAGACCAAAAATAGCACCTTCTGAAAAAAAAGATTCTTTATAAGATTTTATTTTGTGAAGTTCAAAGAGTCTTTCCTAAAGTGTGTTGTTAAAAAGTAGTGATGTTATAAACCTTCAGTGTAATAGTATGCAATATAAAGAACACAGGAAGTTTGTTTCCGATGAGCTGAGATTAATACTATGAGGTCGAAGAAAAGTACACTGGGTCTCAGATAAATATAAATTGTGGACTGCTATGAAAAAAAGGTAATTCTCCATATGTGAGACTATTGGAAGTGAGAAGGAATATTTGCCATTTCTCAAAACTGGCCAGGTTATGCTGACTTAGGATTAGGATTTTGTCACGTGTGTTTTTCCTTAAATGTATGGGCACTCAGATGCTGTCTTGGTGTACACACACAACATGCTGTTCAGTCACAAATCCGAGTAAGTTAATAAAATAAATTGTACTAAAAATCATTTAAAAAAAATAGTAAGTTTTTGTTTTTAGCCATTATTATAAGAAATAAAAAAAGTGAACTTTTGTTTCTAGCCATTGTTATAAAGGCTAATATAATTGTTGTTATATAGCAGTAAGTTGTATTTGTGTGCACGCATGTGTCTCCATCTCAGTTGTCAATGTCTTGAGTGCAGAGAATGTAACCGTCATCTTTATATTGCCTCATTTCTCCGCTGATACTTAGCAAATGAAAGGCAATAAGTAAATGTTTACTGGACGAATGTATTTGCCTCTGGAGACCTAGAGTTTAAAGTTTTAAATCAATAAATAAATAAACACTTACTCTTAAATAATATAGAATCCTGTTGTGTTTCCCACCGTTTTTTGGTAAACTTTGCCCTAATTTATTTTCAGGTCAGGCTGTTGAGCTTATCCATTCATAAACTTTACCCATATGTGATTTTACAACAGGAAGGAACATGTATAAATATTATTTGTCACTGGAAATTAATCTTTTCTCCTGTAATTATTTAGGTTTAAAGATTTATTTAAAATATTTGATTGCTTTTTGTCTGAAATTAATTTTGAAACATGTTTTATAGTTTGTCTCTTAACTTTACAAAATATAAGGCCTGTAATCCCAGCACTTTGGGAGGCTGAGGCAGGTGGATCACGAGGTTAGGAGTTCGATACCAGCCTGGCCAACATGGTGAAACCCCATGTCTTAAAAATAAATAAATAAATAAAATATTTACTAAAAATTTCCTTAAATGTTACCCAGTAACTTCACCAAAGTATTCACTGCCTATCTTCTTGTAGGCAATAGAGAATTTTTTTTTTTTTTTTTTGCATTCTTGCAATTATTTTGGGACATGTGCAAAACATTTTTAGAGTAAATAACACTTTCTACCTGGGGTGGGATTTTAGAGAAGAAATAGAAGACATGTCTGATTTCTTCTCCGTCTTGGTTCTTAATTTCATCACTGACTCACTCTTAACTTTTTTGTATTTTTGAGTATATCTTTTTGATGCCAAGTCACATGGCTTAACTTTTTAAAAGCTAATCTATGTGTATGTTTATATTTTGTAACTGTCTAGTTATTTTGAAATATTTTCTAATTCTGAGACCCTGATCTATAGAACTACAATTAATTATTTAACCTGTAACTGTGAAATAATTGAAAAAAATGTCAACACTTCAGGAAGCTCATAAAGACAACTCAAAGTACATAAGGAAGTGCAAATATTTATGTATATATTACCTATCACTGATGCCTGAAAGGCCTCAGTTACTTACAGCTATGCATAAAATGTTAATTCTTTTTATCACTAACTACCTATTCACATATTTCTCTCCAAGCATACTTCGGATCCAAAAGTTTATGTTCCTCTCCTTTACTCTTTGGAATGAGTTAATTTCTATTGTCTTTTAAAAAGGGTTGAAATAATTTACTTATCAAGGATACCTACTGGAATAAATTGAGGTGACTACTCTGGAAAAAAATTCATCCGTTAAATATACTCTAGCATTAATGATAAACAAAATTGAATGTTCCAGAGGTTGATTTTTATCCGCTTGTACTCAGTGTTGAACAATTTGCCCAAATTTTTTCGTTAGCTGATAATTCAGAGTGATTTTAGAAAGCAATTCACAAAGCTCTCCCGACAGCTTCCTAATTTCTGCAAATATTATTAGGTAACCCAGCTACATTAAACATGTCACTATGTGAGCTGCTCAGGGATGCAGTTCACTGAGAATGACATGTACTAATATGAAAGAGAGGCTGCATAAGCCACAGGTTTTTGCTTTAAGAGATGTTACTGTGAGATCTGCTGAAAGGTTTGCCTGAAAGTATTTCAGACTACTAGTCTGCTGCAAATCCGGAGACACTTAGCATTGGAAATTGGCATCAGTATAAGTGCAATCTGTTTGTAGGAAGTTGACATAAAATGGTCAAGCTGATCCTTAGGAAGGAGGGTTCTTTCACTGTTACACGTTTACTTTGCACAGGTATTGGTCTTTGCTCCATATGCCCTTTGCCTACTTACTTTCTTATTAAGCTCTCTGTGACTTCCAGTACAGAATTAAGCATTTAACTTCTCCATGCTCACAGTGACTGTTTTCTTGTTTTCTTTATTATAGCATTTACCAGATTGTGATGCAATCACCTTGGGAGTGTTTAGCTTTCCAAACCCTCCACTTGAAAATGAGCCCCGTCATCCCAACATCAAGCGTAATAGGCTGCACATACATGGCACTTGGGTGTTCAGTACAATGACCAATACATCAATTCTTTTGCATAAATTATTTTATCAGATTAGTTGACCAAAACATTAGGAGAGATGATAAAGATTAAGTTGATGAATGAAGAGTATCCTGAAACAGGCCCCATGGTAACGATCCTTGTGATTCATAGCATGAAATAATGTGAGCAGAGCAGAAAAAAATTAAGTTTTGCCCAGGAATGTTACTGGACCCAGAGAACCAAGATGAAATGGAATAAATATTATTTTGGAATCATAAATACCTGGATTTAATCCCAATTCTATTATTTGTTTGTAATAACCCATGGATATGCTGTTTAACTTCTCTAGACCTGTCCTTACATTATTAGTTGTTCTATCCCCAACATCTAGCATACTGCCTGATGCATAAAGCATTCAATTTATATTAATCACTTTCCCTTCTAGATTCCTATCAATTCTGATAGGAGGTGTATGCATTTTTTTTACTTGGTTATTATAAAAACTGTTTATGTTGGACACATAAAGTAAAATATTAAATAAACACCACTACCAGCCGAATATTACTACTGTCAGCAACTTAGTGTATGTTGTTCATGATTCTTTTGTACACGTGTACCCATCTATGCAGTTGCTACTAAAATGGGAATATTTTGTACAGGTTGTTTTGCAACCTACTTTTCTTCAGTAAATGGCTCCATCTCGCCATCAAAATATTTATCATATCTAACAGTCAGGGTGTTTTAAATGTGTACAGGCTGGGCCGGGCATGGTGGCTCACACCTGTAATCCAAGCACTTTGGGAGACAGAGGCAGGTGGATAACCTGTGGTCAAGAGTTCGAGACCAGCCTGGCCAACATGGCGAAACCCCATCTTTACTAAAAATACAAAAAATCAGCCGAGCGTGGTGGTGCACGCTTGTAATCTCAGCTACTCAGAAGGCTGATGCATGGGAGGCAGATGTTGCAGTGAGCCTGGATCATGGCATTGCACACCAGCATGGGCAACAACAGTGAAATTCCATCTCAAAAAAAAAAATGTGGCTGAAACTATAAAAGGATGATTTGATACACTACTTAGAAAATTGTTGCCATCACCAGAAATCATTAGAGTGACATATCAGATATTTAACCAAATATAAGAGTGTATACTTACACCCAAAGAGTTTTTAAAAAATATTTATTGTGTTAGCAGTACTCTCAGTCTAGCTATTTGCGTAATTCAGTGATTTTCAGTCCTTAGAACACATTAGAATCACTTGCACGTATGTTGAAAGTAAGAGATGCTTCAACTCATACCTACTGTAACAGAATTTTCTTTTAAAAACAGCATTTGATTTGAGTGTTTTCAAATTAATCCATTCAAAAACAAAACAAGACAGCAACAAAAATGTCATCTGCCTTAGAGGTTTATGGGGTAGCAGAAGAGAAAGATAGTTACTTCAATAATCACAACAAAAAGGTGTAAGTATAGTATTAAGGATATGTACTAAAAACAGTGAGAATATGGACAAAATAGAAATGAATTCTGCCTAAGGTTGTGGAGGGCTCCCAAAAAAGGCAGTAGGTTAATCTGTGTCTGGAAAGTGAAATAAGAATGAGGAAGAAGAGCCAATATTGGCTTCAATGGACGTTGTGAGTGTCTGAATTGTATGGGCACATACATACGTACAGGGCTGTTGCAATTTGGCCTTGTGGACTTTGACGTGCCTGTGGGATTTCCTGATGGAAATGTCTGGTTGGCAGTTAGACATGGATTTGGCCCTCATAAGAGAGGTTAGGCCTGGAGAAACAAGTGAGAAGGCTATAGAAATAATATTTGAGAGAGGCAAACAAGGTTGTAGTGCAAAGCGTCTCAGAATCTAAGTCTTCTGGCTCTCATTTCAAAATTCATATACTGTATCTTTAAATAGGTCTATACATATATGTATGTATGTATAGACTGCACATATATATGTGTAGATATATAGAGAGAGCTACACATAATAATGTGTACACACAGGGCTGTTATCATTTGGCCTTATGGACTTTGAAGTGCCTGTGGGATTTTCTGATGGAATCTCCGGTTGGCAGTTAGAAATATGGATTTGACACTCATAAGAGAGGTTATATATGTATATGTTTATGCATTATTATGTATCTGGGGCATAGTAGATAATTAATTACTTGTAGACTGATAGCCAAATAAATGTTTGTTGAGTTTATATTAAATAGTACTTATTGCCCCCAAGAAGCAATATTTCATATTTTTGTTTAATGATCAACTTTTTAATTTCCCTAATGCAATCACATTAACCCAAAGATGATAAAGGA